TGTAGTGGACCAAGGCCTACGTCGAAACCCAGTCTAAGGTCAAAACTCTTGACCTTTAGAACCTTGTGGGACAGAAGCTGTCATTTCATGTATTTGACTACATAAATACAGGTTCACCCATCCTGAGACTTTCTTTCTTGAAGATTCAAGTGAAAAGAACACTCTCTTTTTATTATCATTACTATCTTACAAATGTTGATAATCAAAGTGTCTTAGTTCAAACCATTTTAGATGTTGCAGTGAACTAATCAATTTTATTAACTGAGTAATGGTTTTTATTCTCATGCAAAAGTTAGAACTCATGTTAAAAGCTGTTGCAGAGTAATTATGCAGTTTCTGATTTCTGCTTTTGAATGAGCAAGTGTGTGCGTTCCAAGGTTGGACTCAAACGAAAAACAAGTTGTTATGTTAAAACTGTCATGTTTTAGAATCCTCTCAGACGTAAATAGAGATGTTTTGCACCTGGTTCTTTTTCACGCCAAAACAGAACCCTCTCGGTCTGTGAGAACATTTCTGACCTGTCTCATAACAATTCTCGCTGCGCCTAACCTCTCACGTCACAAAAACACACCCCTTCTGGTCGTTTCTGACCAATGAAAAATCCCAAAGGTGAACCGGGAAAGAGTCTTTAAAATGTCAGTACTTCCTGGTCTACTCAGAGTTCCCAGAGTTACGGAGAGAGAGTTTACGGAGACTTCATGAGTTTTCAGACTGCTGGAGTTCTGAAGTTGCTGGAGTAGTTCTGTTAGAGACGGGATGATTCTGACATGACAAAAAGCTCTTCCGAGTTTCATGGGATTATAACATTTCCACTGAGGTGAGCTGTGGCGGACAGAATCTCGCTGCTACTCCGGACGAGTAACAGCATCCTACGGAGACGCTGAAAGGGTGCGTTAAACGGAATCTCGCCTGAGACATCTCCAGGTAAAAGAGGCGTTTTCATCACCTAAGTGTACTGTGAGGAAGAAGCTGAAGAAAGCCCGGAGAGTGCCGTTCTGTTCAACACTCTACCTCAAACACCATCTTTCTCCCCTTTAAACTTCATCTTTCATCTTAAACTTTTCTATCAAGTAGAAATTCTTCCAGATATTTAGAAATGTCTGTGTAGAATGCTCACCCACATTCACGTGGGTAAAAGATCATAGTTGTACAGTTTTCATAAATGTCTGTTGGTGCAGCAACGAAAAATCATGGCCGTATGATTTTTCCTGATTGATTGCTTTGTTGTCATTTTCATAATTTGCCAAATTAATGTAAATGTTTGATGTTAAATTTGATTCTGTAAATAAATGACCGCATTCATTTTGATGGGTCAAATTTAAATGACGTCTCACTTTGCATTTCCTTAAATTCAGTGCACGTTTTATTCAGTCCAGAAAAATGAGGAACTCGCGTTAAATGATGAATATATCCCAGCATCTGTTCATCTACACGTGCATAAAAGAATGCCTGCAAACCTCAATGAATTGAAGCAATGGTAGAAAGAAGAGTAGACCAACATGTTGCCGACACTGATAGCATCACAGAACATGGTTAGTTTGCATTATTGCTGCTAAAAGTTTTTACAAGCTACTGAATCAGGAGTACTGAGTTTCTGAACACACTGCTTCTGTATTTTGGCTGAATTTTTCTTAAATGGTTTATACACACACCCACACAACACACATCTATAATCAGCAGCAATTGTGAGTTTCATTGACCTCAGAAACCTCAAACGTTTGTTAAGCCACCATGACTAATCATAATGTTCAAAAGTTGATGTACTTTCCTGCTTCTGGAGAAACTCTAAGATTTATCTGCATATTACGCAACTTGAACAGTTTGTCTTTGTGCGGCGCAGCTTCAAATTAAACTTATCCAAGGTCAGAAATTAAAAGCAAGACCTAGAAAAATATTAACCAAGATGAAAGTTGTATTTATTCATTTTCTAAATAAAGATTCTCCACTTTAAAAGCCCAATACGTCGTTTGAACTGGATAAATGCAACAAAGATGACAAAGAAATACCTCAGCAGGCATGTGCATTAGCAAAACAGCAGCAATGGGGGCCTGGGCCTGGCAGTATCCCTCCTCTGGTCTGTAGAGTGTGTAGGCCTTAAGGACACGAAACAGATCCTGCTGCCTGTAGGACACCAAAATAAAAACCATGTGAATGTCAGACATTATCATAAATGTCAGCATTTAACATCAAATGAGAGACAGCTCACCCGTGCCCTCCCCGGGCCACAAACATTTCATGAAAAGGAAATTGTCGATGGAGGTCCTTCTCAATCACGTCAAGCCATTTGGGGTCTCCTGGCTGACTGTCCAGCTCCTGACAACACACATGGAGGACACAGGATGACCCTTCATTGGAATTACTCATTCTAAATAAGGCTGAGCATAATAAGTATATTGATCAAGTACGTATATACTACTATTTCACAAAACTGAATGATAACATGAATGCATTTTAAGTTTATGGTGGCTACAAGTTACAGCAGAAACTGTCTGAACCTGCTCAAACTTGAAGCAACAACAACAAAAAAAACTCTTCAGGCTTCTCTCAACCAAACAAGTAACATGAGCACAAATCCATAGTTTCAGTAACAATTTAAAAATGAAACGAGCCCAAACCAACAGCAACAAAAGAGCCAAGTTGAGGAAGTGAAAGAAGCAGTTGTCGGACCTGAAACTTTCCTGGGTTCTGCTCTTTCTTCACCTTCCCTCCTGAGAGGAAGAGCCATGCACGGCCTCTGAGCGCAGGAGGGATTCCTTTCTGGCACCGCAGTCTCACCTGAGTCAAAGAAGAATTTGAAACGACAAACGTCTCAGAGGCAGATTGTTCCAACAAGAGAACTACAATATTCTCAATGGAATATCTGAAGAAAGCTCAGATCAAAACGTCAGTGGCTACAATTTAATAAAAGACAAACCAGCATTCGTTGACAATAACATTTAAGAGTGAATACAAACGTAAAATGCACTATATAATTTAAAGTAACTGGTCAAATCAAACATTATGATTTCATTAAATACAAGCAAACAGATCAGCAAAGATCATGATCAGCTGTGTTTCTTCTAATCAACTCCTATAAAAAAAATTATCCTGAAGGTTTCCCAGTTACGGTCTGATTACATAAAAACTGCAGTAGATTGGAAGGAAATGGCTTTTAACCAAGGATTCCTAGATGTTGCATTACTTAAATACAAAACATACAGAGATAATTCTTTGCTTGGCTCTGAAACCTCAAGAAAAATATGGGATCCTGTATGGATCAAACTGTACACTTTGTTTACCGAGCCATGCAACTAAACCTTGGGCATATCTAATAAAAGTACTTAAAGTCGAGCAGCTATAATCTTGGTGAATAATCGTAAACCACAGTCGACGCAACAGACTGGTTTACCAGAAGTACATATTTCACTATTAGACTGGTTTGAATTGCAGTATCATATATATGTTTTCCAAGATATGAAACTTGCACACTTCTCAAAAAAAGAAGTTTTGATGATTTTCACAAATTGTTTTAAGAAAATAAACACAGTAGAGAATTAAAAACCTTGATCCTCATAGAAAAAAATGGACAAATCTACATTTTCTGTGTCCTCACACGAGAGTCTCCAAGGCTTTCTTGTACTTCAGTGCATCTTTATAGTCAAAACACCTTTATTACACAATTATCTCACATAAAGCCAGTGCAGCCCCACCCTGAATCTGAAACGGATAGTTTGTCACATGGTACACGGTGTGATAAACAGGGTTCTGTCCTGGCTTGCTGCTGAATCATGGAAATTAGGAGAAGTGCTGAGAGCATTTCACACACAGAACTTGCCAAACAAGTGGAGCTGTGTGCAGACTTTTCTTTTATTCAATCATATTCTCAAAAACAAAAAAGTACATATCAACAATCACAAACTATCAAAGCAGAGTGTTTATCTTGGTGTGTTATACAGACGTCTGACCTTATTGAATCTCTTGATCATCCACTTGTCCCAGTGGGCGAGCATGTCCAGCCACTTCACCTCCCGTTGCCTGAGCACCTCTGGGGGCACGTCCTGAGCTCTGGTCGCACACAAAAAGTGTCCAAATGTGAGTCAATATCTTGCAAATTAAATCAGCAGTTCGCTAAACAAAACAGACTAACAATCAAATATGCTACAATGAGCTGCGGTGTCTGAAACAACATGCATTCACAATATGTGACGTTTGCTGTTTTGTAGCAAGTCATTGGTGCAACAAAGTCCATTTCATTTCAGTTACACACGTGAAAACAGAACTGAACTGTGCAATGGTTAGGCCCTCCAAAAGAACAAGATGATGCAGGCAAGTCAAACCTACATTATCCATGATGGCTTTATTGAATAGTGTAATTATCTCACTGACACAAGCCTGTAATTGCAGGGTTAAAATGTCATCAAAGAGCTGCCTTTTATATATTTAGGAAAATCTTCTGTCAGCTAAAAGTGCTGGCTAGATGCAGTAGATGAGAACAAAATGTTATAAACGAGAGATTGGGCTTTCAGTCCCTTTAAATAATAATAAGTTGCTATCATTGCCAAGCTGAACTGCTGAGTATGACCATCTGAAGACCGAGCCAAGAGAGGCCCTGAAGTGAAGAGCACCAGAGATGTGGCCTGAAGTCTGCCAAATCTCCAGAACATATAAAACCCAGTGCCAGCTGGTGGCTGGCACAACTTTCACCAACTCCTTTTCCTAATTTAGTGCTGGACTGTGGGATTAAGGTCCACAGTACAAAAGGGAGGGGGAGCTTTTAGACACCTTGACTGAAAATGATTGATTTCTAGAGGCAAGCAGTGAAAAACAGTACCCAAGAAAAACTGGGGTAAACTTTGCACAGTGGGATAAGTGGGACTATGCTGATTGTTGTTAATGGTTTTATCTGCATGCTTTTCTGCTTTAAAGCGAAAATACTGAACATTAAAACACAAAGTGCCACGCAGCTGGTTTGGACTTTTGCAGAGTGGAGATTTAAAAAAAAACTCCACATCTCCAGTCTGGGACAACAAACCATCACAACACTGAGCCCACATCCAGCCCTGCTGTCAGCTGCACAGCTTTAATGGCTCTGCCCGTGTTTTAGCTTGCAGAACCACATTCAGTGGGAGTGAATCACAGACTTTAAACAAAACTTACGACTCCTCCGAGTACTGCTGAGCCCCGCCGATGAATCCATATTTATCGGTTTGCCTGTCGCTGGTGAAGCCGTTGATCTCCGAGTCGGATCCCAGAGAGCTTTCATCGTCGATGTGGCTGCTGCTGATGGTCCTGATGCTCCTGGTGTCCGACGAGTGGCGGCCGTTCTCCGTCTTGGCCATGGCGGTGCTAGCAGGAGAGCTATCGGGCTAGCCAGGATAGCTAACGTCAGCAGCGAGCTTGTTGACAGCCCCCCCTCCACCCCCTCCGGAAAAAAAAAGTCAACCAAACTGCACAGACGCCATGATTTCTAAGTGTGAATCAGATTTTACCAAAGTGCCGACCTGCCCGCAAACGTTTTGTTGGGCATCAAACAGGTTAGCTTCCACGGCTAACCCCAATTACTCAACGTTTGCTAGCTAATGTTGGGAAGCTAGCCGTAGTAAGTTAGCCTTACAAGACTAGTCTTATTAAAGTGACCCTACCTCCAGCACAAACATTACACATTATCGTGTCGACTGTTGCAGATATGAGCTGTCAGCTGGTTAATTCTCTATTTACCAGCTGATAGTGGTTTGGAGCGTCTTGTCATCCCGTGCACCGCTGACAGGCTGAGCCTCGACCAGTCTACTCGACCAGTCTACTCCCATCCTAACCCAGTAATGTTATGGTTACCCCTAGTGGCTGTCTAGAACGCAGATAAATCCCAACACCATTTCGCAATTAAATATCCTCATCCAAAACACATTTATTACTTTATGTTCCTTTATTTAAAATAACTGGGGAAAAAAAACAAACATTTTACACCAAGTTATTTGCAAACGCATCTTTTTGTCTAAATCATAAACAGGAGACTTACATGACAAACAGTATCAACACAATAGTTCAAGGACAACTTGTCCTTTAACAAAAAAAAAAAAAAGTTGCTAAATTGCATTTTAATTCCAGAAATTACCATTACACTAACATGACAAGAAAGAATGGCAGATCAACTTTCTTTGTGAAGAGCGGCTCACTTCTTCCTTCCACCTCTCTCCTTCAGAGCCAAGTGAATGATCGAACCGTTGATCATGTTGTAATAAGCCAGGGAGTTGGAATCTTTGATGAAAATGCCCTGTAATTCAGGAATTTATTAATCAAGGCATTTTAATTAATTTAGCTTGAAAAAGATGGGTAAATAAACTTCAAATACAAGTTTACCTCATACTGCAACTTCTGTTTTCCAGCTGGCATGCCAGTAGCTTCGTGGATTTTGACTTTAATAACAGAAACCTGTGGAGGCGTTTCATTTATAGGTCAGCCACAACTGAATACACACAGAACGGTGGTTAAGAAATAAAATGAACTTTTACACACCTGGTCTGAAAGTGGGACGGTGAAGTTCAGCACTTGGCCATTTAGCTTCCATTCCGACTTGTCCTGCATGTTGGGGACTTGTACTTTGACTGCCACAGGACCCTGGAGACATCAAACCAAAAAAAAGTCTGTATGAATTACTAATAAATCCCCAAATATTAATTGAGTTGACTCAAGTTTCACGTTGTTTCCACGTGCAACAGCACACTTTCAACATACTGTTGATCCAACAAACCTTATTTCTCCGCAGGAATTCTTCCTCTGGGATGAGGTTGTCTTCAGTCTTCATCTTCTTGCTCATGGGCTCATCCTCGTGAGGTGGGGGTGGGTGGACAGGTGGTGCTGGAGCAGAGGGTGGTGGCTGTGGCATTGGAGGAGCAGGGACAAAGGCTAAAAGAAGAAACAGTTTGAATTGACAGGGAAAGATGGATAGAAGCATTTGTTTCCCAAATAAATGTTTATTTTCAGATTATTTCAGCATGTGGAAGCTTTCATCTTACCAGCTGGAACAACCATGGGAGGTGGTCTGGGGGCCATGAGGTGGGGTGCTGGTGGCATGGGCACCACGTTGACACGGGGAGCAGGAATCATGGGAGGCATCGATGTAAGAACTTGGCCTGGCGCAAGACGTACCACGGGAGCCACAGGGGGCCTTGGAATTACAGGAACAGCTGACAAGAGAGTGGTACGCACTGGAGGAGGCACCACCTGCATGACAACCACATTCGTAAATTAGAAGGTATATACGCACAAAATATTTATATGCAACTATATATACATTTGTCACTTACAGCGATTGGTGGGCGTGGCATTGTTGTGATCGGTGGAGTAGGTTTAGGTATACTTGGTGCAGCAGAGGGAATGGGAGGTGGCTGATGAATTTCACTCGGTTTGCTTGGGCCAATTTTCTCCTTAGTGTCGTCCTCTCCCACTAGTCCTTTGGCCTTGTGAATGGCCTCGATCTGCTCCTGCAGAGTGATGTTGGCCTGTGCTGCCTGCTGCGTACGAGCCATGCTTCCAGAGTGGCCGTCCCAGGTAACCTGATGAAAGTAGAAAAACAACAAAAGTTACAAACCCAAAAAGAGTTGTTAATAATCCAGCTGTTCTGACAGTTTTGAAAATGAAAAGTGGTCTGAAATGTCATCTCACCTTCTCTTCTGGCTTTTGAATTTCCTCTTCCCCAATCTTCTTACCGATGGCCGTCTCCTCTACACCAAAGATATCGGTACGCCTCTCAGCAAGTTGTTTCAAGCTGCTCTCAATATCCAAACCAGGAGCATAGACCTCATCTTCTGTCTGCCTTTCTCTGATGCTTCGGTCTCTTTGCTCCAGCCAGCGAGGATCCAGCAGACCAATACGCATGTGCTCTTGCATCTTGCTGGCCAGAATCTTCTCACCGGTAATTGGTGAAACAAGGTACTCATCAGTAGGTGCAGCTGAAGGCTGAGGCTTGGAGGCTGAGGGGAAAGAAAAACCAGCATGAGTTGAACAAACCCTCTGCAAAGTAACAGCTTGTAAAGCCTCATTCACAACGCGCCTCAGTCCAGGACTGAGACGTGTTCTGGGCACCTTGGTCCATTCAGAAGACACATCGAGGCAACGAGGGGGGTCAGAGACACCCTAACTCTGATGGGCCTCTGTGCCTCCAAGCAAGGTAGTAACAGGGCCGGACTGGCTAAAGTGTGGAAAAAAAAAAAACTTGGCTTGCTTGTGGGATTAAAACAACTACAGATTACAGAGGGAGTACTGATGATGACAAACAGTAACTTTTAGTTAGTTAAAAAAAGTTGACCACAAAGAGGATCGCTTAAGTGAGTTAATTCATTACAGTAAATGACGCGGAGGAAATGTCCGACACACATTTAATGCATCACGCTCCTTCAGACCAGCAGAATTCTGCTGCGCGTCTCTTTAGGTTCTGTTCAAAACTCACATCTGAACGGGGCGTGGCAGCTTCATCGGTGATTTATGAAAGGTTAAAGGAAGCTTAAAGATTGAATGGTCTGTGCAGTCGCACAAGCCTTAAGTTTTCATGCTTCTGAGGAAGGAGGTTACCTTTGGGATCGTAATCCTTGCGGATGATAACCTGGTCTGGAGTTGGAGGCAAGGGAGGTGGCATGGGGTTCTCTGGTGGAGGTGGAGCTTTCACACTTTCCTCTTCATCATCAGATCCCTGAAGAAGCAACCATAGATTATTATGTCGTAGTGGTGCTCATAAATGTTCTTACTATCAAACCATTAATTACCAACATGAATTGCATAAGTTTTAAAAAATGTATAAACCAACACTACTGTTACTGAAAATAGTCTCAATCGACTAATTTACAATTTGGTAATCAGTTCTAACCTCATCCATGTCCTGCACTTGAGTGTCTTGATCAGGTTGAGATGGCTGGCCTTCAGCTCGATCCGGACGTTCATCTTCTTCATCTTCGCTTTCAACCTCCATCTCCACTTCCTCACTTTCTCCAAACTTCTCATAACGCTCTTGGATCAAGATGCGAGCACCCAGCTCTTCTGGAGTAGTAGGCGGTGGGAAGTGGCCTAGGAGAACAAAAAGCCAATAAAAATTCATTCTTGCTAGATTTCAAGGCTTATCTGTTTACGTCTACTGGGGTTGCACTACCTTGTTCATTGGGCTGGAAATCCACAGTCTCGACCACTACAAAGTCATGCCAGTCGATCTGGGCATATGCTACACGTTCTTTCTCCCTTTCCTCCTCCTCCTTTCTCCTCTCACGCTCCTGATACTTTGCCCACTCCACGCGGTATCTCACCTAATGTTTGTGCCCAAAAATGCACAATCAAGAACAAAAAACTGGCTATGAACTTAGATTTACTTTGTCAAACAGATCTTACCTGGTCCATGACCTCTTTTGGGTTCTCTGCCTCTTTCTTGAGTTTGATGAGTAGACCTTTAGGAGGGATCAGTATCTAAGGTCAAAGACAAGATTAGGCTGCAGTGTTTCAACCTTAAAAGATGACACCAGTAAAATCAGAGAGGCATAATCTATAGGGTCACCTTTGTGTACTGCTCAACCAGTTTGGTGAAGTAGTTGAAGAGGCTGTGTTGTGGCCGCAAAAAGTCAAACTGGTAGTTCCTCTGTTCTTTCTGCATAAGCTGAGTGAGAAACTGACGTCCATTGCGAGCCACAAACTGAGCAGTGAGCTTGACAACATCCAAATCAAATGCTGAGATTGATGGAGGATCTGCAATGAACTCAAACTCAGGGGGTGGTTCTTTGGGAATCACTGTCTCCTGTATCATCTGTGACTGCACCTAATAAATAATATTTATCATTAATAAGAATTAAAACCCACAAAAATAATTATAAGCATTATAAAAAGAACAAGAAAAGTGTACTAATCGTCTTACTTTTTGTGGAAGCTGCTGGGACTGCTGCAGAGCTTGCTGCTGCATGACCTTAGGTACAGCTGCAGATGGTTCTTGTGCTTTGCCCTCTTTAAATTCATTGACCTTGTGACGATAATACGCATGATACGGATCATTGGGGTTGAGGAAATTAAATTTAGGATTGTTGATCTCATTCTGACGGATTCTTGCTTCAAACTCAGGTCCATTTCTGGATGAAATAAGTAAAAAGTTTAGGAATTGAACAATTATGATTTTACATCAATGATGTTTAGAGTTACTCACCTGGCAACAAAGCTGGCTGTCTTATCAACAATATTTCGGACCTCGGGAGGTGGATATATGATCCCAATAATGGGTTTTGTAGCAGGGGTTTCTTCTGCAGCGACGTCATTCTGCTGACAAGATTTGTAATTATAACCAGGTCAATGTTAGATTTAATAAAGGGGAATCAATGCAATGTAAAAAAGCCTGAAACATATAGGTATCCAAACTTTAACCCAGGGGTCTGCAACCTACAGCTCTGTGGTTCCTCTGCAGTGGCACTTTCAAGCTTTGGTCATAAGCAGTTCCCTGATATTTCTTTGGCAAATATGTGAATGGTATTACTAATAGAAGGAGTAAAACTTGTTGACTACATCATGCTAGTAGTTTGTCAGCCACTTCTTTTAGCTGATTTCAGCTGATTTCTACTGTAACCATGCAATCTTTCTCTCAAATCCACCAGAATGTTTAATAGCTTGAAGGCAAGTTGCTGAGAAGAAATATTAAGTCAATTCGACAACAGTAAAAAAACAAAACAAAAAAACAAAAAACAAAGTCAAAGTAAATGGAAGTAAATTTACTTTCATTTTAAGATTCAGCAAATTGATCTAAGTTTTACCTCCAGTTCAACGTTTTTAAATGTATTACTTCAATTTAAATGAAAACGCACACTGGCCTGCATAGTTCAGTTTTAATTTTTATAAAATGGTAAAAGTAGATTTTTTTTCCCTATTTTACATGAAGCTGGTCTTTTCTTTTGTCTTAAAATGTGAAAATATCTATAAATATTTAATTAGAATCTGGTTTTGCGGCTTCATATACATTTAATAAGCTTTGACCAAACAAAACACTGGCAGAACTACTAAATATCTAGCTGCTTAAAGCTGCATTCGAATAATCAAAGTTATAAATATAATGTGATCTTGGAAAAATTGTTTTTACATTTTCCATAACTGTTTATAAAAGCTACCGCTGTGTTATCAAATAAGCAACTTTTACAAAATTGAAATTTAATAAAGTGTTACCATTTTCATAAGTCAGCATTTATTTCTAGTTTATTACAAAAAAGAGGCCACGTTTAAGTTTTTCTTTTTTTTTGAATAATGGCAAAATGCCAGTAGCTGTCTGGATGCTAACGTTCACAAGCTAACAGGTTTAGCTAGGTGGTAGCTATTTTGGGATTTTTAGTAGATTTGTATCAGACTAAAGAGAATCTGAAATTAACATTTTTGTTCAATAATCGGTGACTGAAAAGATGCGTTGCTGGTTTAGTTTTTTTAACGTTTGCTAACTTTGTAGCCTTACCTTGTTGGACTCCGGCTGAATGATCTGAACAGGCCCAGGCGGCATGGTTTGTCTTTTTATGAAAACCTGAAAAACACAAAGCCGATAGAAACAGTATGTGCGTCTTTAAAGCGAATTTATGACGAAAATTGCATTCGAAATACAATACAGTATGGGTAAAACCAATAATTTGTAAAAGGTTGAACACTGACCGAGTCGTACTATCGTTAACAAATGGAGGAGTATTACTTCCGGAAACATGCAGCAGCAAAGCATTTTGGGACTTTGAGTACCGTTTGTTTTCCCGTTACCAAGGCTACACAGTGCCAACAAGCTCGACCTTTTCATTGCTCTGTTGGAGAGAGTGAACAAAATAAAAGCTGTATGACATGAGTCAGCTCTTAGGTCGTCAGGACTGTATCAAGAGCCTCAGAAAAGACCTGGTCGACATCCAGGGAGCAATTCTGGACGTGTTTTCCAGAACCGGGCCGGTCCACTTCACCTCTTGGAAGTTCCCGGACAAATTCTCCTGTAATCTGGACATGGTGACTCTGCTGGAGGAGTATGACTTTGTGGATGGAGAGGATGTATTCAATCAGCACTCTCACATTGTTCTACTGGAGTTAGTGATTGACAGGTAATAAATCTCGTTACATATGGTAATTATTAAAAAGCGTATTTAAACACTGTGTTTTCTCCTCTACTTGAACAAGACTTGTACTTCTTCTACAATGTGTCAGCGTTTATGCTGAGCAACAGAGGGGCAGACACAGAAGAGAGCCGAGCCAGCAGAAAGGATGCCTCTCAGTTGGTCTTGTGGTTAGGAACTACTGGTGTAATTTACTCCAGTTTACTAACAAGAAGGTAATTTTAGAGATGACAAATACTGTCAAAAGTTAACATGTGATATGATGATAGTATTTTTGTTTTATTATATTTTTCCTTATAGGAAACAAATCAGGAAAAGATGAAGACACCTGTCTATAATGCAACAAAGACGGAGTCGGGCATCTCTTCTATAAGTAGCTCAGAGACTAACTTTAATAAACGTTGTACATCTGCCTGGTCTTCAACAAGTTCTTTTAACCTTCTGCCACAGAATAATGCACCTTCCAGTCTCACCCACACCACCCCATGTTATTCTAAAGCTGAACAGCGTAACGTAAGCTGTCAGACGACAAAATCATCCCTGATTCCCTGTGACGCATGCCATCAAGTGCAGTCCCTTTTGAGAACCACGGGAGCTGCTTTGATAGATTTGTTTCAAACTGAGGGTCTGCCCTCGTCTCTGCAGCCTCTCTCAGCAGCTATGGAGGACGCCGTGGATGTGGGACACATGACAGCGGGTGATGTCACCCAGTGGGCCAACGAGCAGCTCAGGGACATGCGCCGACTGGCAAAACATCTTCAGGATGTCCGAGGTACGGTGCAGCCTCTTAAAGAAAAACTTCAAGTGGCCGAAGCAGACCGAGACTCATTCAGGTCTCAGCTGGACCGAGCGCAGAAGGAGTTCAAGCAAAAGTTAGAAAAGCACCAAACCAATGTTGTCCGGTTAGAGTTTTCTCTGCAGAAAGCTCAGAGGTCCTCAAAGGAAAACGAGCAAAGGCTACAAGATGAGCAGCAGCAGCTTAAGAAAGGTAGTAAATTCAATAGCTCATCAGTTTACACTGTAATAAATTACCGAGATCATTTTTTGTATTATTTTAACAGAAAATTTGGCCTTGGAGGAGCGCATCAACCAATTAATGGAGAAAGTAGCCTTGCAGCAAGAGGCCTTACAAGAATTTGGTAAGGATACAAAATTTAATTTATCTTTATATACTTTTAACTGCACAATGCACTTTTTAATGTATTTATAGAAACAGAAAAGACTGAGCTACAAAACAAAGTGAAGAACCTGCAAACAGAGAAGGAGACTTCTTGCAGATGTGTCCAGCAGCTCCAGGCTCAACTTTCTGACGCTCAGCTTCTTCTTGACAAGGAGAAGGCCAAGTACACGAGTGCTTGCCGTCAACAAGAGGTCAGTGTCGCAGCAAAGATCATCTGTCACCGTAATCAATAGATTTATGAAGGGGGCTCCGTGTGTCCAGTCAATGCAGGCAAAGCAGAAGTCTCTGGTAGGCAGGGTCAGTTTTCTCGATGAAGAGTGTGAGGAGCTGCAGAGGCAGCTGGCAGAGAAGGAGGAGGCACAGATGAGCTTAGACAGTCGGCTGCAACAGATGTCAGAGGTGAACGAACAACAGCAGGCTCAGCTCATTCAGCAACAGGTATCTAAATGACCATAACTCACATAAATACAATACAAAAGGCTGTTATTAACACATGGTGATGTGGTTATTTTCCTCTCTCCTCAGAATTTGTGTAAAAAGCTGCAACAGGAGAAGCAGACGACAGAAACACGAGCAGATGAGTTGAAGAAGCGCGTGTCTGAACTGATGGAGCGTGTGCAAGCTTTAAGAGAGAGGGAGAGGCTGCTGGTGGCTTTCCCAGAGCTCAGCAACTGGACTCTGGCCCAACCACAAAGTAGGCACAGTTACATTACAGTTTTTATTAATAAACTTGTTCAGTGATAAAAAAAAATTAAAAAAAACTCCCATTAAAGCACCAGTGTCTCATGTGCCCATCAATGGCAGCTATAACGTTTTAATGTTCAGAATGATAATTTAACACAGATTACTTGCAAATTACCTTATATACTAATGTCACTTTTTTGAGTATAATGACAATATTTGCATGCTTGTTTGTACATAACAGGTACAGGAAATGTGATTCTGGACATGGAGCAACAACTGCAGGCAAACAGCATTCGTATCAAAGTTCTGGAGCAGGAAAATACGACTCTGCACAAAAGTCTTGGGAAGCTGCGGCAAAGAGCTAAGAGTGATGCCCCCAGGGTAAGAATGTGCACGAGAAATATGAGATGCTCTGTAAAAATATTTTATCTGATGAGTATTTTACGTTTGTGTATTGACAATTGTGTAAATTGTATGTCCAAACAGGAAGTCTCACCTCAGAAGACATGAAGCCACAACTGTACAGAGACCAGTTTTCAGCCTGGGCGTTCACACAAGACCAGCCCCTCCCGGCATGACACAGATAATTAAAAACATACAAATATTATAATGTGGGGTATTATTTCACATCAATATAAACTGTGTGCTGCTTTGTTCATGGCTGTTTCATTAGATAGCTTTATTTATTTTTAAGAAAGCATTAAAGCCTGGTGGCAGCACGGTGGAGCAGCTGGTTGAGCTGCCGCCTCTCAGCAAGTGCACCGGTTCAAATCCAGGTCCGGGTCCTTTCTGGGTGGAATTTGCATGTTCTCTCCGTGCATGCGTGGGTTTTCTCTGGGTACTCCGGTTTCCTCCCACAGACCAAAAACATGCATGTTAGGCTGAGTGAGAGAGTGAATGGTTGTTTGTCTCGTTTGTCTCTATGTGTCCCTGTGATGGACTGGAGACATGTTCAGCGTGTCCCCCGCCTCTCACACAGTGACTGCAGGATACGAGCACCAGTGACCCCCGTGACCTGAAAAGGATGAAGCAGGTGAAGATAATGGATGGATGGATAGCCTGATTGATCACTGAACTTTTTCTTTTTATCACAATGTTCACATTATAAAAGTTAAAGTTACTAGTTCAAGTCAAGTTTATTGTCATTCGCATCACACGTGGTACATGAGGCACAATTGAATTATGTACTCAAGGTCCCAGTTACACCCAAAAATAGCAAAAATATAAAGTATAAAAAGAAATAGCACATAAGGATCTAATACATACACTAAGACATATGCTAAACACTTATCAGGTCTCTCTTGTAAATGAGTCCCCGAGGCTCAATGGGATTAACCTGTATAAATAAAGGTTGAATGAATGAAAAAACACCAATAATGTGTATCAACAGCAGCCTGAACATGAGTCTGTGGTGAGCAGATGGGTATGAATGAATACAGCAGCATGAAATAATCAGCAGCATGGATCATCAGCAGCACGGATAAGTCACATATCACCAGTTAAAGTGGCATTACAGTTGTTTTTTTTCCTTACAGTGGTTATCCTGGTTAGAGAGTCATGAGGAACAGCTTGAGGATAGAAGCTGTTCCTCAGTCTAGTGGTTCTACACTTAATGCTCTTCAACCTCCTTCCTGAGGGGAGCGGGGCAAAAAGTGTGTGCTGGGTGAGTGGGGTCCTTCATGATGCAGGTGGCTCTCTTCTTACATCTGGAGGTGTAGATGTCTGTGACGGTGGGGAGGCTGACTCCAACAGACTTATTACATTCTTATTATTATTTATAGTTATTTACATTATTGATGGTAAAAATGCTTGTTCTCTGTGTATTGTGCTAGTGGAAGAACAGCACACACAAGTAAGTGGTTTGTAGACAGCCAGGTGAGAGGATCAAGTGTCTGTCTTCTTTTGTTCTTGGATTTTTTTTTTCTCAAACCCTCCCCCTCGACACACTTCACGTTGTACACAAATATTTAACACACTCACTCTGCAGAGTTGCTAAAACACACGCACACTCACAAAATCAAACTGTGGAAGTGTGAATAAATTCAAATCGAGGTGCTTAATTGTTTTAAAATATACTTACTGTAGATGGCAACAACTACAAGTAATTCCTAACATTTCTTAATTCGACTGTTTTCTTTTTACAGTTTTTTTTTTAATCAAGGAATTGAAACTGCTTCCACTTCATTTCCCAGCCATGCCACTCTGAATTGTTCTGGTTAAGTCAGAGAAACACTGCTGTAGTTCATTGTCAGTAAAATAACACACCGACGCCTGCTGTGAGTTAGCTCTCAGGTTACATGATCTGCTTCTCAAACAAACATGGGCACGGCTGAGTGCTTTCACAGCAGATGAGTCATCTTGTTGTGAGTCAGTAGGTAGCTGGTACAACCTTGAGTGTCACAAAGATACAATAAAACACAAGTGTGTGTGTGTCTGCGTTGGAAAGCTGTTTCACGAGCGTAGAGAGAGCTAGTTTCCATGGAAACAGAGGTGCTGAGCTGATGCTCGTGTATTTGCCTCCAACTTTGTGAGACTTGAAAAATATGCGAGACTCCATGAGTGCAGCAAAGTTTAATTGCAAACATGACAAAGGTGTGTGTGTGTGTTAGAGATGATATGTAGGGGGTTATGTTATAGAATGGATGATATGAATGATTAATAATTCATAAATTACCTAACCTCAAAGCACCACCTTTGAAAGAAGGAAAAACTATCATCTTAATAAATGACCCTTGGGGCGGCTGTGGCTGAGTTAGAGCAGTTGTCCTCCAGTGCAAGAGTTGGGGGTTCGATTCCACCAGCAGTCACATGCCGAAGTGTCCCTGGGCAAGACATTGAACCCCTCATTGCCTCCGATGTGTGTCCCTTTGGTGCATGAATGTGATAAATCACTGCTTATTCTTTGTACAGATCTAGTAGAGTGCTGTATGAATGAGTACATGAGGCGCAGATTGTGTTGTAAAGAGCTTTGAGTATCTCGATAAGATAGAAAGGCGTTATATAAGTACAGTCCATTTTCCATTACCCTAAGTTTTTTCTTCAGAGCCATATCATAATTACATCAAAACACACCTGAATTAAGTTTGTCACTGTTTATGTGATGTTTATTGACAGATTGTTTATTGACA